TCTTCTCTCTCTCTGCCTACGGTTTACCGGGCAGTTCTGTTTGTGATATGAGTCGGTGAAACTCCGACGAAACAGTTTGTCACAGCCCCTCGTTTGTTGTCCTCTTCTCCCTCTCTGCCTACGGTTTACCGGGCAGTTCTATTTGTCGATATATATACGACGAAACAGTTTGTCACAGCCCTTCGTTTGTTGTCCTCTTCTCTCTCTCTGCCTACGGTTTTACCGGGAAGTTCTGTTTGTGACGATATATATATATATATTAATATTATATGATTCGGTGAAACTCCGACGAAACAGTTTGTCACAGCCCCTCGTTTGTTGTCCTCATCTCCCTCGCTGCCTACGGTTTACCGAGCAGCTCTGTTTGATATATTATACATATTGTCTGTTTGATATATTATACATATTGGCAAAGAAAATCTATATTACTCCATGTTGAGGCTGGGGTCATCACAATCTTCCCGGAAACATTCTGAGGCCATTACCCAGCGTCGGAACAGCTGCAAACTGGGCGTTAAGTCCCACTACCTGGGGTTTAGTTCCCCTTTCAAGTAATTTTTCAATGTTGCCACAGTGCGGCGGTCGAGATCTAATTACCCCTCACTTATCCAAAAAAATAACACAAAATACAAAACAAAAAAACCTTGATTTCTTCCTATTCAGGAAAGCAACCCAATAGGCGGGTTCTTTTCGCTTGTTACTCACTTTTTATAGCATTTGCATGTGCGTGCCTCTATGTGTGCCTCTGTGCCTCTGTGCCTCTGTGTGTGTGTGTGCGTGTGTGTGTGTGTGTGTGTGTGTGTGTGTGTGTGTGTGTGTGTGTGTTGGAATGTGAATGGCGATTTGTGACCAGGAGTTAGGGCAGCCTCACGTGTATGCGTTCCACGTGATCATGCCAGCTCGGCAGCCGAGCTGGAAGGAGATAGTGCGAGCTCTCCAGCAAGGATTTTCAACCTTCCTTGTTCAAATGGATACGACTCTACTTCATAAGGTAATGTTAGCAATCAATCAATCAATCAATCAATCCAGTCAAGGTAATCTTTGCAATCAATCATGTTGAGGTAATCTTAGCAATCAGTCCAATTAAGTTAAGCTTAGAAATCAATCGTAGTGACGTAATCGTAGAAATCAATCCAATTATGAATGGATGTGGATCTTCTTGTTGAGCTGAGAAAGCTCAGCTTGCAATGGTAGGTCTTCATTGTCATCACCCACCTCATTCTTAGTACAGTGAATGTCCTCTGTGTCATCAAGGACGGACAGACTCCTAACTCTTCTCTTATCCCGCCTTATGCTTTCATCTTGAAGTTCATTCTACATTCCTTTCCCTTTTTGTCTTCTTTCCATCTTTCTTCTGTCTCCCCTCATCCCCTCTCTCTCCCATTACTGCCTCTTTCACGGCATGCTATTGAGCGACGGGAAACCCCAGACTGTTAAGGGTTCAACCTCCTGATGAGCAGTGAAACTCCAACGAGACAGTTTGTCACAACCCCTTGTTTGTTGTCCTCTTTTCCCTCTCTGCCTACAGTTTACCGGGCAGCTCTGTTTGACGACATATAGATAGATAGATAGATAGATAGATAGATAGGTAGATAATGCTGTCAAAGTGTCAATGAATCGTGTTATGGGAAGAAAAGAAAACGGGGCAAGTAACAGGCATTGTCAGGCAACTTTGGGCAACTTTAGCAGTTCCCGAAATGGACAAAAAAACGTGACCCTACATCTGCCAAGCGTCACTGCGGGTAATGACTGGCGCAGTTTTAGACCCCCGCTAAACTTGCACCTTTTGAAACTCACATCATGACGTTGGCGCTACTTTGTCTTTTGTTGCCTATTTCAAACTAAAAGTGCGCCACACCCACAGTTTCCCCAAAGAAAACAGAGGTGGTTCCGGATTTTCTTACACTGTGGGTGACTTCGACATCTAGTCTCCCTCCAGAGGGGAGCCATATGTTTTGTTTTTTCAAGTAAATAATTTTTGGGCCATTTCTTGACTTATGTGTGTCATCCTTGCGCAGGGGCCATGCTAATCTTCTCTATATCGCTCCTATTTTAACAGATGTCCCGAAGAACAGGGGAGCCATATGTTCTTCCCTGCTATACCCAATCTAGCCCCTGTCTCTTATACACATCTAGATGTGTATAAGAGACAGCTATTTACCCCGGCCTATAGCCAGGGCTATTCGACTATGTGGCTGACTGACCTGTGAGACCAGGGCGCTGGCCTGACCCCACAGGCCGTGTGTCTATTCAGTCCAGTCCAGTCAGTCCGCCGGAGTATACCCCGGAGTCTCACTTGCACATTTTTGGAGTATGTGCGTGGCCGCCGCAGGGAGTTAGTCTGGAATTACCGTTGCCTCTTCGGTGCTCGTCCTTCTGGTAATCCCAAGCCCTGCCCTTCATAACCGCATCATCGTCATCAGCATCTTCATCATCGTCATTGCAGTTGTTGTTTCCCTTCAACACTTTCTGTGCTTTCTTATCACCCTTGGCGGCTGCCTCCTCCATAGTCGCCCTTTGGTCGGCTTGCCATCTTTCCTTCACCTGCATCTCCATCAAGCCTATGTCGGTCTCTTGCAGCACCATTGCCATCTCCACCTCCTTGCTCATCCCTTCTTCCTCTACGGCGACGGGACTGCCACCCCAGCTGTCCCGCTACACTGGTATCAGAACAGGAACGTTCCCGGCCCCGCCCCCGCTCACCTGGCAACCAGAGCCCAATCGTGGATAGCATATTTTTAAGGTTTCTAAGCACAGAGGGAGCACCCTCGATGGGCAGATCGGGGAGCGCGGTGAAAGGAGAGAAGCGCAATAGTGAACATGTGTCACATGCGAGTGCGCAAGCGCCAAGGCTGCTGCACATGTGCGGCCTCTGCCTGCGCCCGGCCCGCCCTGTGCCCGGATTAGTCAAGATCCACGTAACTGTCAGGGTTTGAACTTGGGCAGCTGCTGCTCATGCACGTGCGTGGCCAGTGCATTAATACACTGGCCACACTCTCCTTATGAGCAGATTACGTAGCACCTGAATCTTCAAGAGGTGCCACAGAGCTATTTCCCCCCTCCACATGGCAGCTTGCTGAGGGCATTCAAGGCCCCCCTGGCTAGGGGGCTGCGCTACAGTGGCAACTGGGTGGCTGATCACAATCTCAACCAACCCTATATTTTTCACTGCAGATCTGATCTATGGATTAGATCTCATTGATGCAGCAACGGTTTGTCAGCAACCTGAAGGCCTCTTTTCCCAAGAGGCTGTTTGAAGGCTAAGATCCCTTGGATCCTGTTGATTTTGCTGCCCTTGGCCACCCAAGAGTTGGGTATCATCTCTCTCCTTACTAATTATTTCTCCCCTCCATCATCTCATCTTCTTTTTCTCATCCTCCCACTACTCTTTTCCCACTTCTTTCCCCTTCTCCCCACTGCTCCCTTATGCCCTTCACTCTTTACTCATCTACTACCATGTTTCTCCTTTCTCCTCCTCCCACTTTACCCTCCCTTATTCCCCCTTACCCCCAACTCAAAACTTTTCTCTTCCCCAACTCTCTCTCCCCTTGCTCACCATCTTTCTACTTATTTCGATTTCTTTTTGTCTTGATTTGATGTTCACACATGGTTTTCTTTTATTTTCTTTCCAAAAATTCTAAAACATCTTATTGTTCTTTTTTTTTTTTACTTTATTAATTTATTTTATTTATTTATCTCAAAAACTCAAATATTTGATTATATTTCCTTTCCTTTTCTTTCCTTCTTCTCCTATTTGCTTTATTTTTACTTCCCAAAAATTGGAAAATATCTTATTACGTCCTTCTTTTTCATTTCTTGATTTATTTTTGCAATAACCCACTTGTTATGCCTCATAAACAGTCTAAGGGCCTCAGGCCTGACGACGGCTCCAGGCCGAACAACAAAGAGGTAGGACCTCCCGAATTTGGAATCAGAGGCCCTGCAGGGCCTGCACCAGGCAGTTGATTGAAAGTCAACTCTGCACGGCCCTCAGTCAGTCACCGTGGACCCAACCCAGGCCGTCGGTTAGGCACACACACTTGTTTGTATGCAGGTACCAAAATAGCATTCAGGCCAAGTGGAAGTTTGCAACTGTATGAGACCCAAGCCGTCGGCTGCGAGTCAATCTAAGCCACCGTGGTGGGCGGGAGACCTGAGGCAGGTCAACCCGGTCCAACGCTACATAAGCCCCTTCCTCCAGGGAGTCAACATTCAGTCTTGCTCTGCTGACTTGAAGCTGGTTTGACGTTGGCTTGACGCTGGATGGACGTTGGCTTGACATTGGCTGAACGCTGGCAACTCGTTGGCACTGTGGACGACGATGCGAGATAGCTACTTGCACGCTGGTGCCTTCCTACTTCGGCGCCGGCCTCTGCTGACGTGGCGCAAGCCACACTGTCTTCGACATTGCTGATGTGGGGCATGCCACTCTGTTTTCGATGCTGGCGTGGCATTTGCCACACTGTCTTCATTGCTGAGTTGGATGCGACAAGGAGGGAGATCAGGATCTGTGGATAGTGAGAGAGAGAGGATACTTACCTGTTGCTGACGTCGATACTGTGCGATGTTGTCTTCATGGGACTGTTGCTGACGTCGATACTGTGCGATGTTGTCTTCATGGGAGAACTGTGCCACGTGGCACGCTGGTGTGATCTGACCTGTCAGGCTTGTTATTGGACACTGTTTGCTGACGTGGAGGCGAGGGGAGGCCAGAGGGAAGAAGAGGGAATGTGGGCTATTATCTATGTGGTCATTGATGGCTACTTACTCTTCCACCCTCTTATCTCCCCTCCTCTACCTCGTCTATGGTTACGAGACATTATATCACAAATCACTTATCATGATTATTGGAGACCTGATCCAGCGCTGAGTTATCTTGTACTTCGACATCTGACGAGTTTCCTCCAAACTGGGTCTATTGCAATTTGGTATCAGAGCATACCTTCTTCATTGTGATCTACTGTCAGGCGCCGCGCGACGCCCAGGTAAGTGGGAGGTGCTGCCCGTTGGAAGACGCGTGCGATTATTATCGCGATCTAGACATTGACAATCGCGTGCATGCATACTTCCTTGAAGATGATGACGTGGACCACTTGAAGAGAAGACTGGCGCTTTGTTGCTGATATGGTGACCAGATACTGGCGAGAGTATCGTTGGCTGAGGGCTGACGTGGCGATGGTGAACGAGAGAGAGAGTGGGTATTGGGAATGCTGACGTGGCGCGCTGCCTACATGGCATGGCGCAGGGGTGCTGACGTGGCATCCTAGGATTGGCAGGGTCTTGTCTGACGTGGCATGTAGCTGTATCGCAACTTACCTGTTGACGTGACGCTCCACACTACAACGGTACTACTTCTGTCTGACGTGGCATACCAGTGGTGGATGAGTTGGCAGTTCGTGCATTGCTAACGTGGCATCCCTCCCGAAGGCCTTACTAGCCATTAAGGCTGATGTGGCAAACTTCGTGGAACTGCTATGTTTGCATCCCAGGGGTGACACGTGGCATACTTTATGCGCTGCCGTGGGTGAGGAAGTGATATTTGCACTTGTGTGCTGGCGGGCGGTACAACTTCACGATTGGTTGTAGTGCCACGGGTCGGCCTTGGTGCCTGACTGCATTGGCATTCGCAGTGTGACAACCGCTAGAGGATGAGATGTTGACGATTGATTGATTGTTGTTGTTGTTGGCTGACTCTACTCACTTGTCTTGGCTGTTCTATGGTTGTCTTGCATACTCACATGTGTTGTTGTGTCTTTGATCACACTGGTCATGGCTGCGGTACATATGCACTCTCATTAGGACGTCATCACACATAGGATAGACAACAAAAGTTAGAATTAGAAGTAAATTGATATTTGTTCCTTCTTTATTTTGTTTATTCTTGCTGTAGTACTTTGAAACCAGGTGCGGCCGTGGAATTTATTATCGTCCTGTAATTATTTATTGTGCGGCAGACACATTTTGAAAACGTCCTTCTTCTGGAATTCTTTG